ATTAGGGTTAGGGTTAGGGCTGTGATTAGGGTTAGGGTTAGGGATGAAAACCCATTGGGGATCAAGATATTCTTGAATAACTTTTGTTCTGAAGGTCATAGGGACTTGGAAGTTGGTTCTATCTGGACTAATGTGGGTATGCCCGATCCATTGGTAGCAACCCCGAGGTTCTACGACCTTCAGAAGGGGTCAAACCACCAAATCTATAAAAAAAAGTACAAGATATTTTTGAATAACTTTTTTTCTGAAGGTCTCAGAGACTCGGGCATTTCATGATTGATGAAGAGGAGCGTGCCACACACCCACACCGAATTTCAGCCCGTTTCGAGCAAGCAGTGTGGAATGAATATGGTTAGGGTTGAAATTAGGGTTGAAATTAGGGCTGTGATTAGGGTTAGGGATGAAAACCCATTGGAGATCAAGATATTCTTGAATAACTTTTGTTCTGCTGATCACGTTGGAGGGTCTCATACATTTGGACAGAGGAGACAATGCGGTTGCACTGAGAGAAAAACCTTGAGGCATTGGTTGAGATAACAGTGATATTCTTCATATTTTATCCTCTGGTTGACAGTGTTAGATGAAGATCATGACTGCTGGAGGACGTCCCCATTGTATATTTTACTATAGTTGTGGTATTTATTAGGACTGAGCAACCAATGAAAGCTGGCACTAGATTATTTGTGTGTCAGAAAAAATGATAAACAAGAACTCGTCACATGAAGTTATTCAGTTAAAGCATATTTGTACTCCACCACTGCTTTTCTACCACCACTGTTCTACTTTACATACAAACACTTACCACAGCGTCGCTCATCCGCTCCGTTGGGACAGTCTTTGTGTCCATTACACTGCAACGCCTGAGGGAGACAATCACTCAGGTTCCCACATGGAAACTGGCCAAGGGGGCATCTGTCCTCCCCCTCCACCCCGCTGCTGGCCACCAGAGCTGAAAGAGGGATGGAGGAGTGACATTACAGACACGTTTTTTTTCCCGTTAGAAATCAGAGAAAAATGTGCGACTCCGCAAAAAGCTCATCAAGCACAGTTGGACAAATCTGAACTATAAAAAGAGGAAACAAGCTGTGGTTATGAATATATACTCAAAATATCATATCTTAGTTGTTTTTTTTACCTGGCAGGATATTTGATTTTTGGCAAAAACTGTTTTTGCATTTTAATTTATATTATTTTGTTTACTAAAGTTATATAAATAGAAAATTGTCACACACCCATATCCCATATTTTGATCATGGATTAATTATCACGGGCCTCCGCATTAACTGACTATTATTTTTAGTGTGGCTGAAGTGAGACTATATAAAGGACCATTAACCTTTTAGGATTCATCTTTTATCACTGCTTCACGAAACACAAGTCAGCCACAAAACTCTGGTGTGACGATTTATTTTCTCCGTTAATCTACGGAAACAAATCCCTCTTTATCGCCTGCCGGCCAACACAAGGCCCTGCTCATATCTGCAAGGAGCACATGCAGCATTACTCTGATCCCTCTCTATTGACACTCATCAAACACAGACCTAAGAGCTGTTTGTTGTACTTCTTGTACATTTGCAGAATACTGGTGGAAAAATGTCGTGTCATCAAATCAGGAAAAAAGGACGATGGTGTGGACAAGTATGTTCATGTAAGAGAGTTCCACTGTATCAAATTACTTTCAAACTGCTTATTATCACGAACCATTTTAAATGTTGTTGGATACAAAATGACTGGTTCATATCTTTGATTTGTAGGAATTTATTTTTAAATTATGACCTGAATGTTTCTCTATATGTTTTGATTATATTATAATTCTTACATCAATACTTTGTCTTTTGAGAGAATGTGACTCTCCCAAAAGAACTGTAAGGATTTGTTAGGATGCCTGGAGTTTGTGACTGTATATTTGCACCACAAGGTTGAAACAAACAAACAGCATATCAGGAAATTCCACGGCCCAAAAAATGTCAGAAGAAACAGGTACATTACTAACAACCTCATTGTGGGAAGAGAAAAACTAAGAGCAGAGCAGGAGACAAAAGGTAGAAAAGCTGAGGCCATGATTCATAATTCACTCCAAGATCAAAATGACATATCCAGGAGAATCAACAGAAATATACATATATGTATATATCATATACAATGCAAAGCTCCATAAACACTGAAAATGTGTCTATATGAGAGCAACTCCAGTTAAATCCTGTTTAAACCGTGACGGTGACAGATTGATGCCATGCTGTAACAGAAGGTACAGTGATGTCTCAGTGTTTGGACAGTGGCACATTTTGGTTTTGGATCTGCAGTGACACTCAAACGCTAGAGCTGTTAGTTTTTATAATTATGAAAGATGAATTATTAGAATAAAAACACATTATTTGGCACAAATTATTTGATCTTTATTTATTTCTAAAATATTTCTATCTATCTATTTAATTTTTGCAGTGTGTGAGGTGATGCTCACTTTCACTGATAGTCCTAGAATGTGTGAGCAAGCACTCAAGACCGAACACAAGTACTGCGCCCTCATGGCAAATGTTTTATTCGAACCCAGTGTGAGGGGTGGAGAGAGACGGGGCCATCACGGTGATAAAAGTGTGATAATGTGTTGTGGGATCGTGTTATGGAGCCACCATGCTGAGTAGACAAATGAAAAGCTCAGCTCTAACAGGGCCATGATGTGGATAAATAGAAGAGTAGCTCACAGGAGGGTTCACACACTAAAGGAAAATAAGTCAAATGAAGCTTCCATGAACATGTTTCATGAATATAACTCTGCCAGTGTAAGTGTTATAACTTCCACTGCTATTTTCTTCTAGTGTAGGCGGTGTAATCACATAAAGTCTCCTGCATTTACCTCCTTTCTGTGGATGGTGCATGCTGGGACATGAGCTCCGACAGTGACAGCATGACAAGCTCCCCTCTCTGCAGCCTGCTGAGTCATACGGATGTGCGAGGTGACTTATACGAGCCACTTCCACAGCTTCTGTTTCCCTTCGGTTTATTACAAACATATATAATTGCCGACTGTTAAAGCTGGGCAAAGAAAATTATTCGTGAGTAATATTGAGGCCGTGGTGCAGAGCTGCTGCGTACACGGAGACAATAATAGAAAAGACTGTTGAATCAGTGCAGCAGTCAGTCAAGTGTCCACCCAGACGTAAAGAGTAGATCCAGTCTGACACTCAGACTGTTCCCTGCCACAGAGGTTGACACACACAGTTCACACACCTTCACACACCTTCACACACCTTCACACACGAGACTGGAGGCAAGAGGAGATGCAGACTGACATCACGCCAGCCTCTGCTACCCCCCCACCTCAGACTCACATCGTATCTGGTGCTTCATGAGACAAAAGATGGTTCATTTCAACTTAATGAACCAGATAGAAGCTGTCGGATTCTCTTATTCTTCTCTTTTATAGCTGTATAGCCTGGTTATATACATTTTGTGACCAAGCCGTGCAGCTCTCAGTCACTTGTAAAGATCTTAATACTGCATTTGACTTACATGAAAGGTTTGATTGATTGATTGATTGATTGATTTAGGTACAATTTAATATCTCAATCTTGCAAAACAATTTTTTTTAATGAATTCTAGTAGTCTTGTGAAATTATTTTGATAAATCTATCAAGCAACCAATCAATCAATCAATCAAGTCAAATAAAACCAGGCTTAACAGCTATAAAAAAAGAACAAGAGAATCTTTCTGGTTCATTAAATAAAATGTAAATATGTAGAGGAAGAGAAACAATTACTGGATCTCAGCCACTTAATTAGTAACGTTATGGCAACATATAATAAAATGAGAAGGTGAATGAAGATCATGTATCAACATTATCATCGTAATCCTTATTACAATAATATTCTACAATAAATCACATTGGAGTCAACCAATCTCTCTGGTAATAGTCTGAGCCCTGATCCTCTGTCACTCAGCCCCTCTCCCTGAGGACAGAAAGGACTTGATCTGACACGTATGTTATCTGACACAGTGAATACGTCATCTCACATGCTTGGGAAAAAGTTTAACTGGTTTAACTCTGGAGTTATATTTTGTAGTTTTGCTTTTTTGTCTCAAATGAGAGATTAATGTGTTTACTTAAGCCAGGCTTTCAGTTGTATGATTTCATTGTGTTGCTGTTTTTAATTCTATTTAAACTTTGACTAAACTGAACAAAATCTTGACCTTTCTGTAAAATCAATGTCCTTCATTTTGCTGTAATTTCTCATTGTGCCAAAAATTCCATCTAATCTCACATCAAGTCCTGAAAGAGTCCTCCAGCCTGATTGAAACAGTGTTTTAATTATCTTTAAATTAAATAGAGGGCTGAGTGTGAAACAGAACAGCGGCAACATCTGTCCTCTGTTTGTGTGTGTGTGTGTGTTAAAGAAATGCTCATACAGAATCTCATCCTGCCACACATCTGCAGACACAATAGAGGTGGTAGAAAAGTACAGGCAGTGAAAATGTGCTTTTGAATGACCTGAATATTCTCACAGGAATACTTTGTTATCCACATTGTCAGAAACATAATTTAAATGGGACACAACCTCTCATCTTCTTATTAATAACATCTGAAACTCAATAAACCAATAAAAGCCTATAATAATTAAAAAGTTCAAAATGTCCCTCCTCCACTCTTCATTACCTCTGATCTCCGTGTAGGTCAAGTGGATGAGCAGCATGATGACAGGTACGTCCATCCTGAGCCTCAGAAGTTTCCCTGCGCTCATGTCGCTCTGCGTCCGTGCCGCCGCACCACAATCCAGGATGGTGTTTCACCACCTTCAGGTGAAAACAACCGGCACACAAGTCAGCAGCAGCAGTCCCACTCAGTCCTGAGCCTTAGAAAACCACATACCAGACGCTTAAAAGGCGCTAAACCATCCGATGAATCAGCTGCAGCAGCAGCGTTGAGCTGGTGTGTAAAAACAACCACATCCTCTCCAACACTGTTCTGTCAGATCTGTGAAGGACTCCCCCACCTCCCTCTCTCTTTTTTCCTCCCTCCCTCTTTCTCTCACACACGCAGGCACGCACACACACTCCCTCTCACGCACACACACGTGCACAACAAGGTGTGCAAACATTTCCTCCTCCTCCTTGCTCTCTCTCCTCTTTCTTTAAATACATCTTTTCATCCTCTGTCTTGTCTTTTCTTAGCCACTTTCTCGCGTGCAGAGGCTCAGTCATGTTGCACCGTGCAGACAATCTGCGAATAAGAGGATAAAAGCAGGAGCTGCATCCACCATCCACCCACCCATGCAGGATGTGCAGGTTGTGCAAAAGTAATGTATCTGCTGGGCTGCAGGATGAAAGCTTCTCTTGTAATTAAGCTGCAGCAACTACAGTGGGTTTTATAGAAATAAGAAGTCAAACTGAAATGCAGAACTATTAGGAAGGAAGTGGAGAGTACTGTGATGTTGTTGAATAACTTTTTTTTGTGTTAAATGAGACGACTGATAACAATGTAATTTAAGTCTGTGTCTGTTCAATAGGAAGCTACAAAAGACCCACAATGGAAACATAATCACAACGGAATTGAGTGACAGAAACCTGAAAGCCTGGTCAAGTTAACCGCTGCTTAAAATGTGGTGCTTGTCTATTTGAGGTGTTATGGTACAGGTGCTCCAAGCACAATGGCGAAATCTTGACGGTTGCCATAGCCACACAGTTTGATGAATGAAAACGTAAAAGTTCAGTGTTCATAATGAATAATTCATAATTCATTCTTTAGTTTGCCTTTTTTGAAATCTTGGGATTACTGAAATTCGTATATGGGTTAAATGTGATTTAGCCAGGGCCTTTGGAGACATTTTTGCAAACCCATGTGCAAAAATAATTAATTATCTGATTCACCACGTCTGATGAATGAGCACATTTTCAAATGCTTTTGCTCATTATCTCCTCAAAAATTTAATACATTTTGGTCAATAATATTGATAATCAGCGGTTTTAATAGAACATTTAAAGAGGTCAATGTTAGTTCCTCAGGATCGATCGTAGAGACAGGAGCACATGGCTGTGGATCGGAGCCATGTGTTTGTGATACGTGTTTATTTTTGTTTTCTGATATTGAGTAATCTAGTTTTAGGAAATCCCCCATATGGACTTGATCCCTTCCTATTATTAGAGATCTGCAGTCAGTTTAAATTTGGATCTTGGCTGATGGGAGAACCAGTGCTCTGCTCCAGAGGGGTCATTCAGAGCATCTCCAATCGACCCACTGCAGCTGCCAGGAACAAGGAGCGGCACTGACCTGACGAAGCACTTTAACCGTGACCATAAAGCTGGCACAATGCAAAAGATACAACACATCACAATAAATCCTCCTCTGGGGACCATGAACCAAAACTGATCATAATCAGATAGTGGATGAATAAAGACCTAGTTTACATGGAGACCTTGCCTGTACTGCTGCTACCCTCCATTTTTACTTTGTTTTACAAAATACCTCTGTCCAGACAAGACCACGAAAATGACCACAAAGGCTCAAACAAGCATATCGGGCCAGTAGGTGGCGATAAAGTCTACATTAACGAGACTTCAAATAAAAAGAATGCTGTGTTCCGAGTAATATGAACACAGATAATGTGGTGCAATACAAACTTGTGTTTAGACCCATCAGTGCAAACCAAATATAGAGAAATAATGTAGATTCATCTCAGATTTCTCCTGCCACTTGAATTTTTAGTATCAAAGTCAGGTTGTAACAGCCCATTTCTGATCCATTACACAACATTCAGATTCAGAACATTTGAAATACGAGGCCTTATCTTGACAGTAAAAGCTTGACAAAAAACTGAATGAATGAATTCGTCACATTACAAAATTCATTATAATTCATAAGAGGCAGCTCACGTGGGCTCAGAGGCACTAAAGAAAAGAAAAAAAACAGACGTACAACAAAAAGCATCGGCTGCTGCTTCACAATCAGAGTGAGAGTGAAAACAGACAAATTGACTTTTGCCAGGGATGGGCCCCTCGCCATCTGCAGTGGATAACGTTTGGAAGGGCAAACATGCGCAGACGCTCTCGTACAGACCAAAGTGGTTCATTGCACTCAAAGGTGCATAATCAAGCAGTTAAAGATAAAAAGGACAAACATTGTTGGACTGATGTTTATTCATGAGCAGTTTGTCAGCAGCTGGAGGATCAAGCCATTTAATTTTCTGTGGAGAGAAACATTTGCATTTGACAACATTTATGAACTTAACCGAGCTGAAAACATAAATTGAAACCATTCAGATCTCTTATTATTCATATCAGTTATTATTCATTAGTCAAGTCGGATCCAATAGACGCTTTCTTTCGTCCTTTGTCTCATTCTTATTGGGGAAAACGATGAGTGCACAGATGTAGAAAGGTCAGACTCTCTTATCTGAACAATGGATGTGCAAATACGTTTAGTTCATTATCAATTTACTTCATCATCAGTAGAGCATTGATTGAAACAACTGAATCTAGATCCTTAACAATATACTTCTTTTAGCGTGACCAGGTTTGTGTTGTATGGAGTCCTGAAGCTGATCAGCAGTAACAAAATACATCAATATTATTGTAATGTCAAAAGCAGCCGAAATATTGTGTTACTTTTCTTCCAACAATCAATTAATTAAAAAAACTTTACGACCAGCTGCTAAAATAAATCAGGTTTTGATTTATGTCAATATTCATCTATGACACCTTGTTTCATTTTTCATCTTCTCAACCAAACTGACTGAAAATATGCTAGTGACTTGAGTTTGTGAAAGATGAATAGAGAAGTAAAATAAAAACAACTTTTAGATTTATTTTAAGAATATTAAAGAGAAATTGTAGAGCTTTTTGTTTCATTTTACACGCTTTTTAAATATTTATATCAATCGATCGATACTGCATCCAGCCACAAGGGGGATATCAAGAAGAATTGGCTTTTGTCATGTATTTGTGACAGAAGTCACAAGAAAACAGAATCATGGAGGCATGAACTGACATTTCCTCATCTCTTTACATGGCATTTAAAAATAAACACTTTTATCCTTCAGAAATGTAGTTTTGGTTTAAATGTATTCCAGTTGTCTGTGCTTGTGAGGACCACTGCTTCTCACTATAATGAGATAACAATATATAACAATATAACCACAATATCAACTAATTCAACCTTTCCTGTCTTAATCTTCAGCCTTTTTAAGGACTGGCCTAAATGTCTTCACTAAGATATAAAAATTAAATCGTCCTTGTGTAGTTAAAGTTTAGAGACACCCTGATAAACACGTCTAGATAGAATTTTTGGCCTCGACATTACATTAAAAAGTTGAGAGTGAGGTTTTCTCTTTAAAAAAGCAGCTTAGTTTGGAGAAGTTGCAATTTACAATTTTCAGGCAAAACAGCCTGTGGGACAAGCTCAAGAATTTAATTTGACACTTTTAATTGATGTGAAACTGAAAATATGGTCCTTCAGGGGAGTCAGAAGAAATATAGAATACCACTGCTGAGGGTGTGTGCTCGCCAATGCTTAGTGATAGCATGGGAATGTTGATACAGCTGAAATGAAGATATGAATAGTAATATGTGAAGAAAAATAGAAGTATGATTGTAAGTATATGGTGATTTTAAAAAGTGAATTTGAGGATTTTAAGAGCGTGGGAAAATTATGTTGCTGGAGGAAACAGAAAAGCAGATGTTCATCTATAGAGGAACATCTTCCCCTGTGAACTTTCATCAAAGCTTCATGAGTGTTGTGGATTTCACTCTAAGATAAAAAATATGCTCAAAATAAAATACGTCAAAACCCTACGGAGACTGACACCAGTTCTCTCTACTTCAGTTAACGTTGCTTGGAATTGGATGGAGGTCATGGCTATGGGCCAACAGAGGGGACACTACTCACAGTTGTGCACAACCACCAGAACACACAGTCAAACCAAGGGGAAGTGATTGTGTTACCACCAACATGCAGGATGAGGAAGACCATACTCCCACTGAGAAATTAACACCTGGAGAGAGAACCAGCTCTAAACTTCCCATCAGCTACAATGCAATACAAACCAAAGCAATCGGGAAGTAAAACAAAGATAAATATTACAGGAACTTTACTCCAAAAGGCCTCTTCAATACCGTGGTGGGTGTTTCCTACAATTGAACAAAGCCTATGTTATTTGACAGCACAGGAATTCAAAAGATAACTTGCGGTTGTTTAATCAGTTTACTTGTGGCAGGGATTATCTCAGGTTGTCCTATTTTCCTGTGAATGTTCTCAAATAACTGGTTCTTCAGCTCTTAGGCTTTTAACTATAACACACTTACCTATGTAGGTTAATTTAATACACTTAAAACGAAAGTATTAAAGACAGCACATGGCGATATAATAACAGGACCTAGTTGTTTGATGAGATAGCTGAGAACTATCCATTCACAGCGGTGAACAGAAGACAGGGTCATGGTACAGATATCCACTGACCATACCAAAATATTGTATGTTGCCCCGAGAGGCTAATTCATCATCTAAACTCTGTTTGGACAGAAATGCAACAACAACAAAATGTTGCCTGTAGTTATTATACTACTACTTGGCTGACCCAGGCCCACCATCTACAAACAGCAGCTGTTCCTCCTTCTCAGAGGGGTTCGACACTCACAGTCAGATAATCCTGTGATGTGGCCGAGAGAACCACGAGCACTAAAGCCAACAAAAAGCAAACTTCCACACAGCACACTACAGCTACTACCATATATGAGTAGACTGACGGTAAATTCTCATGATTGTGGTTCGTAAATGCCCCATTATATTTATCACTCCAATT